CGCGTTTGTAGGTATACATGAACACACGCCCACGACTTATCTTGGTAGCCACTACTCCCTCCCAGTCGTAGACGGGCGAGTACACACACGCGCGCGCGCATTCTCATGTGTCATTTACGCACCTGATGGTCCACACGTCAATCGTCTGGCACATCCACTCAAACATCGAGGAAGATCGTGTAAGTGCGTGCCTGAAAGCAGCCCAACTAAGCGGTCACAATCACGCATTCACGAAGGCCATATCAAAATTTCACGTCTCCCACGCCAAAAGGCTAGCGATCCATCTGCTAGAGAAAGCGAGTTTATCTCCAAACCCAAATATAACGCCGCGACAATGACTCAATGGGCTTCAAGGAAAATAATGCCCACGTGACACAGGCGCATTCACCCTGGCGCACAGACATGCACACCAATCCATACATAATACACGCATACATTAAATGCACAATAAATTCCTTCCTTCCTTCCTTCATTCATTCATTCATACATGCATACAGCACACACGCGCAGTTCAACAGACAAGGGGAAACGCTGTGGTTCTGACATGCATTCGCAGGCAAGACGGTGCACGACCACAAAGCCAAGTACGGACGAGTGATGCCGGCAAGAGCATACGAGAAGTGATACTAACGATAGTGTAAACGAAGATAATGGCATTTTAAATAAAAAAATAAAATAATATAAAACAATCATCATCATAAACAGTCATGACATGATGATGATGATGATGATTATTATTATAATGATGATAATAACAAATAAAAAGAAAATAATTATAATAGTACTAATACGGATAACCCTATAAACATTATGATACCAATAATAACGATAAAAAACTGCAAAAAACGATGATAAAATCAATAACCCAAAGAACAAGAGAAACTTTAAACATAAAAAATTAACCAGTCTTCACCCCCCAACCCCCGCCTCGGGTTGTTTTATCGTCAGATCAAGGAGAATAAAGCAGACGCAGACCTTATGACTCTTGGGCATCATCCCGATAACTTTAAATAAGAGAAAAAATCTAACTTGCCCAAGTTTTCCCGGAATATTAAAAAATGAACACAAGAAAATCTCAGGGTCGACTTACGTAATTTCTGCTCCTCACACACACTCGGTTCCCCCTGGCACGGAAGCACTCGGTTTCCACCGCAGCAAACTCCTCCTCAAACTTTCTCCTTACACTTGCACGAGAGAGAGAGAGAGAGAGAGAGAGAGAGAGAGAGAGAGAGAGAGAGAGAGAGAGAGAGAGAGAGAAGAGAGAGAGAGAGAGAGAGAGAGAGAGAGAGAGAGAGAGAGAAGAGAGAGAGAAGAGAGAGAGAGAGAGAGAGAGAGAGGAGAGAGAGAGAGGAGAGAGAGAGAGAGAGAGAGGAGAGAGAGAGAGAAAGAGAGAGAGAGACGAGAGGAGAGAGAGGAGAGAGGAGAGAGAGGGAGAGAGAGAGAGAGAGAGAGAGAGAGAAGAGAGAAGAGAGATCAGAGGAAGATGAGAGAGGCGAGAGAGGACGGAGGAGAGGATGGAGAAGGAGGGGGGAGCGAAGGAGGGATATTATTAGTGGGAGGCAGGAGGAATATGAGCACTAGAGTAAGAGAGCAAGATTATATGGACATGGCGATGTGAGTGTAGATGGCGAAGGCGTATAGCGGAGACAAGAGGCGTAAACTATGATCTATCTCATATCTTGGGGTCTATCGATGAGATCTATGCGAAGAGAGGGAGTAGTGCTCAAATGCAGAATTAGAAGATGAGAAAGAGACCTCAGGCATATTGGGATCATATCTATCTATCAGTATCTATCCTATCTATCTTATCAAATGGCGCTTCATATCATATATATTGGGGAGGTGAGGTGAGGAGGTCAGTAAGGAGGAGAAGTAGATGTATGAACGATGAACAGAGATGAAGATGAGTAAGAGGTGAGTTGAGGAGTGGTGAGGGAGGTAGTATAGGGAGGAGGTATGGGTAGGGAGGGATTATCCGATGAGAGGTTGACGAGAGGGATTCGGATGGGTATGAGGAGGGAGGGAGGGAGGGAGGTGGGTAATGTGAGAGAGAGAGAGACGAGACGAGATGAGATTGAGACGAGATAGGATAGAGTAATTCAACTAATCAAATCTATCAATTGCTAGACACCGAGAGATAGACTATAGAGATGGTAGGAGGATTAGGATATGAGACTACACTGATATAATCTAGGAAGAGAGAAGAGCGAGGATAGAGACACGAAGAGAGAGAATGAGAGAGAGAGAGAAATGAGTTTGTCGAGAGATAGAGCGAAGGAGAGAGAAGAGATGGAGAGAGAAGAGATCTGGAGAGAGAAGTAGAGAGAGTAGTCAGACTATATAGACATCTGAGAATAGGAAAGCGGAGAGAGAGAGGAAGGTATGAGGAAAGAGTCACCACATGCAACATACAGCTTTAGAACCATCGAGTCGACCTGTACCTTATTCAAAGTCTATGTAAATTATGTAAATCCTGGACTGCGAGCCTCCTCAGGGTTTT